ATGTCAATAGGCTTGGAATGAATTTTTCTGTATGAAACTGTGTGTTTTGACAATGAAGAGGAGATCTTTTTTAAACATTGGAACCTAATTTAATTTTATCTCTTAGAGAGTTTATAATGAGTATAAGATTTTATAAGCATAATAATTCATCTGTAAACCTAGAAATGTACAGCCAATTTTGAAAGAGATGTACCCTAGCTCAGAAAAAATGTTATTGAATAGGTTAATGCTGTTGTAATGAAATGCTTCTTTTAATTAAAATAAATAAATTTAAAAAAAAAAAGTAAACCTTGTGGCTGGATGTGATGGTGCACACCTTTAATCCTAGCACTTGGGAGGCAGAGGCTGGTGGATTTTCATGAGTTTAAGGCCAGCTTGGTCTACATAGTAAGTTCCAGGCCAGCTGGGGCTACAGGGAGACCCTGTCTCAAAAACACCAAAAAAAAAAAAAAAGTAAACCTCATAGCTAGAAACATTACCACACGAGTATGTTCCTAAGTGAACATGTGTATGGTGAGCCAACATATTCCCAAAGAGTCACTTGAAGTAATGGGCTGTTATGAATAAGAGCATGTACCCTGGTCATGTGGTTAAAGGTGCCTTGTGTCCTGTCGGAGAGGTGAGGTATGCCTTTTTTATCCACGGTTTCTTCCCCCTGAGAAGGGGGACATCCACAGTCACACTTAGTTCTCAGAGTCATGGGAAGTGTAATGTGAGAATACATAGAAACTTTTCTTATAATCTTTGAAAACATAAGATATAAGATGTTTCTTTTAATCAGCTTTGAAGATTGCTCATCAGCTGGAGCCTTCAGATATGATACTAATAGAACTGTTTCTTTTCCACAATACAGGAGAACTTGGAAAGACTGCAGCATAGCAAGGATATCATCATAATGTAACCATTCTTTACATGTGGTGTGATGTTCCTTCACGCATCCCTGACAGGTGAAGAAGAGGCACAGAGCAGGGGTACATGTTCCCATTTCTTATGGATGCATGCGTGTAGCTATCAGGAAGGATAGATAAAAAATAACCCACGGTAGTGTTTTCCTGTTAGAAGCAGCTATTTTGCAACTCCTCCAGCTTCGTGTATTTTCCCTGTAATGTACATGTGCTGTTTCATCTTTTCCAATGACTTTTAAAAGATGCTCATTAACAAATCAGCATAGTTTTAGTTGATTCAGTTCCAGATTGAGCTATCAAAACCTGAAACTAATGTGCATGGTGACTCTGACAGTAGCCTTGGGGAATGTCCTAGGAGCCCCTCATCCCACATGTCACTGCTGTGGTTGAGTCATGTCACCCCATTCTCTAGTTCCCGGGATACAGCATTTCGATCAAAGGCAACTTCGGGGAGGAAGGATTTCCTTGGCTTATACTTGCAAGTCACAGTTCATCATTAAAGCAAGTCATGGCAGGAACCGAGTAAGACAGGAACTCCAAGGCAGAAACTATGGAGGAATACTCTTGGTGGCTTGCTCACTGGCTCATGTTTAGTTGACTTTCTTATACAGCCCAGGACCACCTGCTCACAGGAAATGGTGCTGCCCCCAGTGGTTGGAGTTGAGACTCCCTTCTTGAATGATGTAGGCTGTGTTGAGCTGTCAGTTAAAGCTAACTAGGGCATCCCCCTAACACAGTGGCCCTCTTATCTACAGTTTTGCTTTTCCCAACTCCAGTTTCCCAGAATAAACCACAGTCCAAAACTTACATGGGAAGTTCCAGAAATAAACAGTTCAAAAGGTTTTTGTTTTGTTTTGTTTTGTTGTTTTGAGAGAAGGTCTCTCTGTAGACCCAGCTGGCCTGGAACTGGATTCGTAGACTAGGCTGGCCAGAGATCCACCTGCCTCTGCCTCCCTAGTTCTGGGATTAAAGGTGTGCCCTGCCCCACAATTCAGACGTTTTCAGTTACACTGAGTAGTGTGAAGTCTCCTGCCATCTCAAGCTGTCCTGCCCCAGTCATGATTCATGCCTTCATCCCCTTCGTCCATGCTGCATGCATTATATCCCATCGTCACTTTGTAGCTGTTCCTGTTATCAGATTGGCTGTCACAGTGCAGAGATAGAGATAAACCACATTCATATAACTTTCTGTACATTCTTACAATTGTTCTCTTTTATTGTTGTTGTTAATCTCTTACCAAGTCTCATTTATGAACTGAACTTTATCATAAGTATGTATGTACAGTAACTAATCTTGTTTATTACATAGGTCTATGGTGTATGCTAGTAAGGCTAGTAAGGGTCTTGGGACATATAACCCTATTATATGCTAAAATTCTGACCCTAGTAACTGTGAATGTCACCTTGTTTGGAAAGAGACTCAAGTACACATAAGATGAGACACTGCTGAACTAAAGTGACCCAGTATCCAGCTGTTGTCCTAGGAAAACAGAGTTTTAAAGACACAGACAGATGGGAGGATCCCATGGAGAGACTGTGCTCATGTTTCCACACATTGTCTCACTGAAAACTCACCCACCCATGCAAGCTGCTACTTTCCTTTTTAGACTGTTCCAAGCAACCTCCCTCATTCAGCCCTTTTCAGACAAGAGTGAAGCAACAGGCTCTCCACCCCCAGGCCTAGTTTGGTTCTCTGCAGAACTCTCACTCTGTGGAGAACTCCCAGGAGTAGAGATGCTGCTGCTGACTGCACTCCTGCAGATTTCCATCGGTGAAATCTTTTTCTCTGAACTGTTCTCAGGATTGGCAGCATACAACTTTATGGATGCTCCTAGTCAGTTTTCCTTACATGTATGGACACACGTTACTCATTATCCCAACCTTGGAGACTCAGGAGACTGTGGAAATTTTCATATGCCTAGAAGCATTCCATTTAGCAGCCTGGGGCAAAAACTCTTCCTCCTTCTTGTTACATAGCACTGGTTCAACTGTCCAGACCACTTTACAAAGATTTCTGTATTTAAACCAATACCCAAGACCCAGTTTCTGCAGGCAGTATTTAATTAAATTTATTAACACTGTATCAAATTCTAGAGTCATTATTATTCCTCTTATTTTCCCTTATGGTATAATTTTTCTTGCTGAAATACATTTCTTTTTAAAATTTTCATTTATTATTTTTATTCTATGTGTATGAATGTATTGCCTGCATATGTGTAAGTACACCATGTTCTTCAATGCCCTTGGAGGTCAGAGGAAGAATTCCCCCCGGAACTGGAGTTACAGACAGTTGTTAGTCTCCATGTCAGTGTGGGGAATCAAACCCAGGTCTTCTGCAAGAGCAATCAGTGCTCTTAACCTCTGAGCCATCTCTCCAACCATGAAATATATTTCTTACCAGTTTTCTTTGCAAGGTCTGTGAGAGATAACATCCCTAAGCCTTCATATTTCAGAAAATAACCTTTTATCCTCAGTTTTTCTCCTTAATTGCTGGCTATAGAATTCTATAACTGTAACCTTTTTTCCTTCTGCATAAGGAAGATAGCAGCTATTGCTGAGGAGCGGGTCTGGCTGTTCGTCTAGTTGTCATTCCTTTTGTAGGAGCCTTTTTTCTGGTAGCTTCTTAGGTTATATTTGAATCTTTGATTTTTCTAAACTTGACAGTAATGTTTCTAATTATTCATATATCTTTACTTGTGTTTTATACATAGATAGCACTTTCTATACACACGTTTTAATTGGTTCAGAACACAGCGTAGGTGGCTTAAGAAGTAAATTCACTGCTCACAGTTCTGGAGGCTGCAGTGTTAAATCACAGTGCTGCCATACCTGTGTCCAATGAGAGCCTGGTTTTCTCTGTAACCCCTGTAGCTCTCTGTCCTAGTTTGATTCTCCATTGCTGTGACAAAATACTCTGACCAACACCAACTTGGGGAGGAAAGGGCTTATTCAGCTTACGTCTCCTGGGTCTCAATTCATCAGGGAGCCAAAAGTAGAAACTCAGGGCAGGAACCTGGAGGCAGAAGCTGGAGCACAGGCCATGGAGAATCGCTGCTTACTGGCTTGCTCCCCTGGCCCCTGCTCAGCCTGCTTTCTTATGCAACACAGGCCCACCTGCCCAGGGGTGGCACCACCCATAGTGGTCTGGGCCCTCCCACATCACTCAGCAACCAAGAAGATGCCCCTCAGACATGGCCACAAGCCAGTTCAATGGAGGCAATTCCCCAATTGAGGCTCCCTCAACCCAAGTGTGTCAAGTTGACAATAAAGCTATCCAGCACAATGGACCCCTTGTCAACTTGATGCACAAACACATCACTATTAAACCATAACCCTTCCCATTCTAATCCCTACAATATGATGTTAACATTAATATTACAACATAAGACAGTACAACCTTAAAAGCCCCGAGTCCTTAAAAATATCCAAACACTTAAAAGTCCACAGTCTCTTTTAAAAGTCTCTTAACTGGGGGCTCCTGTAAAATCCAAAACAAGTACTGTCTTATTTCAAAGGGAAGAACTGGGCACACCTAAGCAAAACCAAAGTCCAGCAAAGTAGCTCAAGGCTGGACATCTGGGATTCACTCATGATATTCTGGGCTCCAAAGGGTTCTGGCAGCTTCACCTCTGACTCTGCCATCCACAGCACACACCGCTCATCTTGAAGACCCAGATTGGTTCCATTCCACACCTACTGTTGCCCTTGGTGGTCATCCCATGGTCCTGGCATCTCCAAAAGCTGGTTCTCCACTGAAACTGAGGCTACATATTCACCAATAGCCTCTCCTTGACTCTTGGGGTGCAAAGCCTCAGATTCTCTCCATGACCCCTTCAATCCTGGTATCTTCACAGCAACTGAAGCTGCACTTTTACCTGTGCCCTTTCCTGGCCTCTCAGAGTGCCAAGCCTCAGCTGCTGTCTGTGACCCCTTCACGCTTTCAACACCAGAACCATGCAGGAGACTCTTACACATTACCAAGTCCTGCTTCCAGCTAGAGATGGAGGCTCAGGCCCCCTCTTGACCACAGCTTCTGTGTGCTGACCCTGAAGAAATCCTTCCCAGAAGATTTCACCACAGTGATGTTGGTCTTTTGTTACTTACAGGTGATTTTTCAGCCCCAGCTAACCAGCATCAATTGTCCCAGTAAAGTAAAGATTTTACTTCAGGTTCTGGTCTCTTTTTAATTCCAGCTGATTCTTCAGCCCCAGCCAACTAGAACTCCCAGATTATTAATTCAAAACATCATACAAACAGCCCTGATGGTCTCTGCTTCCCTTTGAAACTTCACAAGTGAGGGCTCTATTGTTCACAACTCTTTCAGCATAACTGTCCCAAGCTCCACAGCAACAAACTCTAAGCACTCAATGGCTTTTCTAGCCCAAAATTCTGAACGCTTCCACAATCCTCCTAAAAACACCAAGGTCAGGTCTGTCACAGCAATACCCCACTGTCTGGTACCAATTTCTGTCCTAATTTGTTTCTCCATTGCTGTGACAAAACACTCTGACCACTACCAACTTGGGAAGGAAAGGGTTTTTTTATCTTACATCTCCTGGGTCGCAGTTCATCAGGGAGCCCAAGGTAGGAGGAACCCAGGGCAGGAACCTGGAGGCAGAAGCTGGAGCACAGGCCATGAAGGAACACTGCTTACTGACTTGCTCCCCCTGGCTTACAGGCTTGCTCCCCTGGCCCCTGCTCAGCCTGCTTTCTTATGCAACACAGGCCCACCTGCCCAGGGGTGGCACCACCCACAGTGGTCTGGGCCCTCCCACATCACTCAACAACTAAGAAGATGCCCCACAGACCTGGCCACAGGCCAGTCCTATGGAGGAAATTTCCCAATTGAGGCTCCCTCAACCCAGGTGTGTTAAGCTGATGCTAAAGCTATCCAACACACTCTCTGTCTTTTATTAGAGAACTAATTCTGGACCTGTGGATATATGTCAGTGGTAGTACTTACCTACCATGTGCAAGGCCCTAGGTTCAATCTCTAGTACTAGGAGAGAGAGAGAGAGAGAGAGAGAGAGAGAGAGAGAGAGAGAGAGAGAGAGATATCAACCCAAACACTAAGTCCATTCACGAGACTCCTCCAAAGGTCCTACTCCCAGATTCCATCCCATCTGGGACTGGTATTCAGTGTATGATATTTGGGGAAGACTTAGCATTCAGTCCATAACACTGAACATTCCTGTTTTTAATTGTACTTTTTAAATGTTGATTCTTCATCTTTTACTTATTATTTTTATTGTATGTGTAGGAGTGTATTGCTTACGTGTGTGTAAGTGCACCCGTGTCATGCAATGCCCACGGAGGTCAGAAGAAGACATTGGATCCCCTGGAACTGAAGTTACAGACAGTTGTTAGCCACTATGTGGGTGGTGAGAATTGAACCCAAGTCCTCTGTAAGAGCAGACAGTGCTCTTAACTGCTGAGCCACCTCTCCAGCCCCTCAAGTTCTTTTTTTAGATTTTTCATGTTTTTTGTTAAACTAATGTCTTTTTTGCATTTTTTATCATTTGAGAACTTCATACATGCATGTAATGTATTTTGATCAAATCCAAATCAAGTTCTCCCTTCCAATTCCTCCCCATCCCCCTACTTTCCCCTCCTGACTTCATGTACTCTTCTTTTTTTTAAACCCATTGAATTCACTTAGTGCTGCAGTATGTGTGTGGGTGTAGGGCAATCTTCTGGAGCATGGGTAGCTTCCCAGGCGCTGCATCCCTGAAGAAAATTGACTTCCCTTTTCCCCATCAGTAACTGTCAATTGCCAGTAGCAGCTCAGCTAGGGGTGGAACCGCATGATTTCCTCCCCTATCCATGCTGGAATTTTGAGTGGCTTGGTCTTGTCCAGGTCGTCTTGTGCGTGCAGTCACAGCTCCTGTGAGTTCATGTATGTAAAGGTGCTATCATACCCAGCAAATACTGCTTCCCTGCAGACATCTGCTACCTCTGTCTCTTACAGTCTGTCTGCTTCTATTTTACAATGACCCCTGAGCCTTCCACAGTCTACTATTCTCCAAGCATTGATCAGTTGTGGGTGTCTCTATTAATCACCCTCTACTGCAAAAGAAGCTTCTTTGATATGGGCTGAGAGATTCACTTATTTATGGGCATAAAAATAAAAACTTAGAGGGCAACTTATTATTATTATTATTATTATTATTATTATTATTATACCCACTAGAGCACAATAGTATAATAATAATAGTTTTCCCCTAGGGCCTCTGACATAGCCAGTCACAGGATTTTGTCAATGGTACCAGGCATGAGTTCCATCTGTGTAAGCAGGCTTTAAAGTCAAGTAGAGTGATTGTCTGCTCCCGTAACATTCATACCACTATTTGACCAGTGGGCATATATTCTTTCATTAATTTCTGCTTAGTCCTTCTTGTTTCTGTACTTTTAAATTTTAGCTCTACTTTACTTGTGTTCTTGTTTTCTTAAAGTACAACTGGTCATTGACTTGAGATGTTTCTTGTTTTGTGATGTAAACATTTACATCTATAATTTTCCCTCTACGTATAGGTACATTTACCTCCATAAAATTACAACACTGTGTTTTCATTTTCATTCAATTCAAAGTATTTTCTGGTATTTTTGTTTTTGTCTGCTTGTTTTGTGTGGTTGTGGTTTCTTCTTTAGCCCTTAGTTCATTGGGAGCATGTTATTTAATTTTCATATATTTTGAATTTCCCAAATATTCTTCTGTTGTTAGTTTCTAAATTAATCTATTGTGACAAGAGAATATACTTTGTATTACAATAATAATTTGAAGTCTGTTGAAGTTGTTTTATAACATTATGAAACTCAAGTCAACTCATAATTTTTTAAAAGCAAATATCCTAACACCATATGATGCAAAGCTATACTAGATATATGCTAAGGAATGAAGGTCGGAAAAGATTAAAAGTCTTTGTTTCCGTAAGAGCAGAAAAGTTGGTATGTACTGTAAAAACGTTTCAATTCATGACATACAATACTCTGGTGGTGTCTCAGATAGCACAGTGGCGTGGCATAAGGCATGCACAGTAGAAAGCATTCTTACTGTGTGCTCAGTACCAAGGCTGCGGTGGAGCTGTGTGATACGGCATGAGCAGGCGCTGCTAGAAATACCTCAGATTTGTTCTGATTCTGTTTTCATCACTGCACGTTCAGAAACAGTTTACTATTGCCATATTTTTGTGGCTCCCACATTCAGTTATATACTCCTCCCTGCGCCCCCCCCCCCCAGTTTAAGAAGCTGGGCCCTAGAGAATATCTTAGTTGGAGATTTTCTTTTCCCCTAAGTTCATAGTAACATTGTTCGCTATAACAAAAATCTAGATAGTGGGTAGGAAAATGGTTCAGTGGTTAAGTGCATGTACTGCTCTAGCCAAGGACCCAGCTCAACCTGAGTTCCGGTGGCTCCAACCACCTCTAACTCTAGTTCCAGAGGATCCAGTGCTTTCTTCTGCATGACGTGGTACACATACAAACAAGCAGACACAAACACATACACATACATAAAATAAATTTAAATAAAATATATGATAAAATGCCACATCTGTTTTCTGTTAGCATAGCCACACTAGCTCTATTATAGCTGCTATGGCCTGCATTTTTTTTCATGTTTTACATTCCAGCTGTTTGTGGGCTTGACTCTACAGTGATTCCTATCACTTATCTGTTTTTATCCATTCCAATAGTCTCTACCTTTGGTTTAATTCATTCGTTTATGTCACATTGATATGATTGGATTTACTACACATTTTCCTCTTCTTTTTTTAAAATTTATTTTGTGATTGGTCGGCTTCTTTTTCCTCATTCTTCTTTTTCCTCATTCTTCTTGATCCATTTTAATTTCTTTTTCTGTTTTCTCCTCCCTCCTGTTTAAAAAAGGTTTATTTATTTGTATTCGTGTGTGTTCATACGTACCATGTGTGTCCAGGAGCCCACAGAGGCCAGAAGAGGCTACTGGATCTCCTGGAACTGGAGTAACAGGAGGTTGTGAGCCACCCTGTTGGTACTGGGAACTGAACTCAGGTGCTCTGCAAGAGCAATAAGTGCTCTTAACCACTGAGACATCTCTCTAACCCTCTCCTCCTTGTCCTCCTTTTTAAATTTATATTTTGAAACTGGGTCTTACTGTGTAGCCATGAAGCCAGGCTAGACTTGAACTCAAGATCCTCCAGTTTCAAGCTCACAAATGCTGGTATTACCATTGAGTACTATGCCAGGTACATTTCCTTTGCTTTTTTTTTTTTTTTTTTTTTTTAATTCAAGTGTGGGTTGGTGGGTGAGTGCAGGTCCAAGTGTGTATGCACAAGCATGTGGGTGCACGTGAGCCTTCAAGTGCAGGTGGAGGCCAAAGGACAACCTCAGGTGTCACTCTCCAGGCACCTCAACCTGTTTGTTTGGTCCCTCATTGGTCTGGAACTTGCCAAGCAGGATTGCATAGCCGGGCAGCAGGTCCAAAGGATCTGCTTTTCTCCGGCTCCCCACCTCTGGGATCACAAGTGCACAACACCATGTCCCACATTTTTATGTGGTTTTTTGAGGATCAAACTCAGGTCCTTGTGTTTGCAAAAGACAGAGTTATCTTCTTTGCCTCCCCTCTCCACCATTTAATTTTCTTTAGTGATTTTTTTCGCTATATTTTTGGACTTACTTAATGGCCTTTACAGAGCTTATAATACACATCATAGTGTATCAGAATCAACTTCAGTAACTTTTCTCCTTATAGCTACCCTCCTACCTGCTGTTTTTATACAATTATACTATATGTATCAAGAATATAAATGTTATATGTCCAACAATACATTGTTATAATTATTAGTTTTATGCCTTTACAAAGAAACCAACAAAAGAAGAGTAGATATGTATGTAGAAGAGCTTTATTTAGAAAATCAACCTGAGGCTGGAGAGATGGCTCAGTGGTTAAGAGTGCCAGCTGCTCTTGCAGAGGACCTGAGTACAGCTTCCAGCACCCACATGGCAGTTAGTTAACTGTTCTGAACTCCAGTTCCAAGGGCTCTGACTCCCTCTTCTGGTCTCCAAGGGCATTGCATGCATGTGGTACACTTACATACATGTAGGCAAAACACTCATACACATAAAATAAAAATTAATTTTGTTTGTTTATTTATTTATTTTTGTTCTTTTTGAGACAGGGTCTCCCTGTAGTCCCAGCTGACCTGGAACTCACTATGTAGACCAGGCTGGCCTCAAACTCACAGAGATCTGCCTGCCTCTGCCTCTCAAGTTCTGGGATTAAAGTCATATGCCACCACACCTGGCCTAAAAATAAATTAATTTTAAAGACAGTTTTATTTTCCACTTCTGGGTTTCTTTCTCTCTTCTTGAGATTTGAGTGTCTATTGCCATTTTTTCCTGCATTATAACGTTATTGCTACCTCTCTCCTCTCTGTTAATATCAAGAATATGTTAATCCAACAATGAAATTTTACCGATACTATTTTATCCAGTTGTTTTTCAAATCAAATAATAGAAAAATGTAATCATACTGTCTTTTATCTTTATCTAGATAATTATATCTGCTAGAGTTCCTGTGTATGTATGTGCAAGCATGCATGTGTGTGGTGCGTGCATGAATGCAAGAGAGAGGGGGTGGGTAGAGAGAGAGATAGATATTTACTATCTGGTGTCATCTCCTTTGAAGAACTTCCTTTACTTTTCCTGTAAGACATCGCTGCTTGCAACAAATACTCATTTTTTGCTTATCTGGAAATGTCTGATTTGTCTTCATTTTTTTTTTTTTCACATCAGACGGGTAATGTGCTGGCACATAACAAGGTTTGAGGGCAGCATGTCACGCATGCGCATGAACACCCAATCATCATCCTTATGAACCACAAAAGGATCTTGTCTTCATTTTTCAAAAGATGGTTTGCTGAACATAGGATTCTTGGTTGTCACTTTTGTCTTTCGGCATGTTGGATATGTTGACCCACTACTTCCTGGTCTGTTATTTGTGACAAAAAGTCAGACGTTAGCCTTGAAATTTACTTCTTCCTGATGAGTCATTTTTCTTCTTTTTTTTTTCTTTCTTTTTTCCTCTTGACCCCTCAGCATTGACTGTCGTTTGGACCTCTGTCTGTACTGCTTACAGCTAATTATACCTGTTGGTTATGTACATTTGTGGTTTTCATACAAGTTGGAAATTTTACAGCTATTATTTCTTTAAATATTCTTTCTGTCCCAGTACTTAATTAAGCCAACAACTTTAGATTTCTGTCTTTAGGCAGGTAGCAGGACTTTCCAGTCCTGCTGGCAATCGTGACTCTGGGCTGGCATCTACGGATTTGGCTTCCCATGTTTTGTTTTGTTTTTTAAAGGTGAATATTTCTTCCTTTTTTTTTATTCCCTCCAAATCTTTTCTTTTTAATTAGAAGAAGCATTTCATTACAACAGCATTGACATATTCAATAACAATTTCCAGAGATAAGATGCATGTCTTTCAAATTTGGCTGTAAAATTTTAGGTTTACAGTTGAATTAATACAATAATACAATATTGTACTCTGTATAAACCCTGTAAGACGTAAAATTAAATGAGGTTTTAAACTTTAAAAAAGATCTCTATCTCATTATTAAAATACACAGTTTCATACAGAAAAATTCATTTTTAATACAATTGACACTAAGATGCACATGCGTTTCTAATCTCTATATATCTGATTATTACTAGTCACATTCGGTTACTTTCTGAGCGCCTTGTCATCTGAGCATGGATATAAAGTCATCAGGTGGATTTCAATGGTAATGTTTTTAACATCTACTAATTATTAAGGGGCAAATTTTTATACTTTGAAGACTGTCCCATAGCCTCCCTTTCCCCAGTAGAGCCCTTATACTCTGATATCCCTGCTACTGTCTGCTATGTTGTTGGCACCCCCAACCATTCCCCACTATTTGTCCATCTGGTGAATCTAGTCAGCCTATCTAGAGGTCTTTGTTTTAGGAAGGTCAGCTGTTCCTCATCTAGCAGCAATCAGCTGTCAATATTCCTTTAGATAAGATTGGGGTTTGCTGTTCATTTTCCCAGACCTATGCTGGGTTACTGTCTGGGAGTCTCTTGGGCCACCCTGGCCAACAACTCAAAGGATGGTATCTCCTGTCTGGCATTGTTTCTTGTTATGTAGCCTTTAGCTATACACATAGACTCTTAAAAAATTGTATTGACCCCTTTAATCTTTGGTTATACTTTCCTTTTGGGTGTTTAAGACCCTACAGTTGGCACAGATAAACCAATTTATTTTTACTCTTAAGGTCATTTGAGGATCTGTTCCTCAGGAGTCACATGG